GGCAGGATTAGAATAAATTAATTAATGAGACCTTGGATACAATCAAATACATCAATCGAAAGGGTTTGACCTCCCGAGTCCAAAACTGTAATTATATCTGAAATTGGTCAAGAGATGACGGAGCTATGAGCTAAATGTTTGTACTTGAAAAACGTTTGGCTGGCATATGAACCGATATGCCGCGGCTAATAAAGATCAACGCACATTTTTCTTGTGATCTTGGCGTTCTTATTTGATGTATATAATCTAAGGAAAGCTTAAAACGGTTTATATTAATAAAAAAGTAAATCAAAATATGTATAATCCTAAGGTGAGTCGGCAATACGCAAAAACATTGAGCGCTGGCTAACGCTGGTAACTCAACGATATTGCAGTCCAATTTCGAGATATAAGGTTATTTTCTTTTTAATGTTTTCGAGGGCCCTCGCGTATCTCAGGATTGGAACCACTGACAAAGACTACCTAAAAGAATTACAGAACGCTGTTCAGTTAATCTTTTGAATCACTAAAGACTCGTTTACTTCTTTACGTATGGAAGTTGTTATGATAGTATTTCAGTAAGTGTTGGTCTTGCACAATAAACCTGATGAACAGTTATACGATATCAAACACCACTTATTATGTAGCTTCCAGGAATCCGTTTGTGGATAGTACATCTGCTGGACACCTCAATATTCAGTTGACAAAGATTCTTACTATCTGCTGGTCACCTCAATATTCAGTTGACAAAGATTCTTACTATCTGCTGGTCGCCTCAATATTCAGTTGACAAAGATTCTTACTATCTGCTGGTCACCTCAATATTCAGTTGACAAAGATTCTTACTATCTACTGGTCGTCTCAATATTCAGTTGACAAAGATTCTTACTATTTGCTGGTCAACTCAATATTTAGTTGACATAGATTCTTACTACTAGAAACTAAGTTATTTCTCAGGTTGTGTTAAACGTTGGTAATTACGAATGAATTCCTCCTCAAGAAATTGTCCTATGAACGGATCATTTAATAACTATTGTTGATTTATAGGGAAGAATATTTCTATTAAGTTAAATATTTTACAGAGTATTATCGAATTCTATTTATATCTGTATTGGATGAATAATTTACGATTGATGATTGGCAGAATTTTATCTTCTAAAAGATTCCTTAGAGAGATCTTGTCAACAAATATATGAATTTAGAGACCAATCAAGTTTGAAACATCGTCGTTAATTGAAAAGGACTTATCACAGTTCGAACATGACCATTCTAGTTTCGAGTTTTATACTTAAAATATTTATGGATACTAACTATCAAAGCGAATTTGATAATAGATCTTACAATTGTTGTTCTGCAGTTTGTAGAGATGGTCTTGATTTGATCACGACATTTCCAACACCTGTTATATTATACATCAGAATACGATCTGTCACTGATACTGAACATGTGTCACCTGAATACCCTTCATACATCAAAGTTGTGTATTTTTAAGGCGGTAAATCATGAACCAAGACTATCTGTTAAAAACGTGTAGATTTAACAATTTCTCTTACGCACAGTTATATCCCTCATCTTTTGGGTGGTTTACTTTTGACCTTATTAGACATTAAACCATAGATGTAAAGTCACGAGAATAAACTTAAAGATTGCTGTAGTACACCTATTTCTATAAACAATTAACTAGTGTATTAATTATCTCTAAATTATTATATGGTTCTTAGAATTACTAATCTATTTTACAATTTGACATCATATTAACATTTGGGCCTGACGCTTGTGGTAAGCGTAGTGGGCTGCTAATCGGAATGTTTTAAGTTCAAGTCTCAGTGTGACGATGAACACACTCTACACTACCAGCTGTGGAGGCGTTATAACTGTGATTGTCAATCCCACTATTTGGTTAATTAAGAGTAGTTGCGTAGGCGGCGGGTACTGTTTATTGGTTTATTTCTCTGGCTCTCTAGTCAGCTGTTCTAAAGTCGAGATGGCTAAGTCTGAACCTTAGGGGGGTTTCTAACCTAGCGTTTAGCCCACGTGTAGAGCAAAGAACAATTTTTAACGATACGCATTAGAACAAGTAATATCGTTAGAAATACGATTAAGAGCTAAATTTGCATAATTTACTAGAAACAAAACATTATATTCAAATTTAGTTCAAAAGGAGGAGGTTCTAACGCTCACCATTATTATTCCAAATAAATCTGAGTGAAGATCCTAATGACCTCCATAAATATATGATTACAAACCAAAATTAGCGACTTCATCAAAGAACTTGTACCTTTGATTTGAGTCTTTTTGATATACTTAATCTTTTTTTTTTATTATGGCGGTTTTTGAGGACATTGTATAGAGAGTTAAAGAGCTTATTTTCTTAGCAGCAGATCAATTACAGTTGGTCTTCATTTTTAAAGGCAAAAACGCTTACCTTGTGGTATTCGTATTTGGAAGAAAATCAATAATATTACAATTTTACACGAGAGATCTGTAGGTAAAATTGTAGCATGTAATATAGGAAGCATTACTTTTAATGGCCGAGTTGTCTTCTTACAATTTTTGGTATTATGTAACTGTAATTCAGATTTTATAATCCAAGAGAAAAGTATTCAAGTAATAGTAATTTATAAGTTTCTTCCAAGCAGTGAAGGTGTAACAATTAAAACGCAACTAATATAGTACGATTGGCCCCTAGTGGCACAGCGGTATGTTTATGGACTTATACCGCTAGAAACCGGGTTTCGATACCCGTGGTGGGCAGAGCCCTTTGTATAGCTTTTTGCTTAATAATAATAAACGTATTACGACTGTGACGAATACTCGGAAAATCGATTTCAAAGTCATAAAATCGTAAGTTGTTTCTATTCAGAAATAGAAAGAATAATTTTCTTTGAATATAAAAGTTTATCCTGAACACACAAACAAACTTTAAATTATTAATATCCAATCAAATTAAGTAATTACGCTAATCCCTTTGTGCCGGCCCGCAATGGCCAGGTGGTTAGGGAGCTCGACTCGCAATCTGCGGGTCGCGGGTTCGAATCATGCTCGCCCTTTCAGCCTTGGGGGTGTTATAATATTACGTTAAATCCCACTATTCGTTGGTAAAAGAGTAGCCTTCCAAAACAAACCCTTTGTGCCACGTGACTAACAACACGCTGGATTGCATTTTTAAGAATCAGTCACGTAATACAACACAAATTGCCCTCTAACTTAAGGACAAACGTTTTTAGTAAAAGGTACAATATATTCCCTATACTGTTAATACCTTTTAGTTTTGACTATTTCTATACCTTCGTCATGTATTCTGTTATTGGATTCAAAATGGCCGGCAATTATCCGATTAGATTTTATGAAGACGATTAATCGTTGCAGCCATACTTCATATAACGGTATCAGGTGGAGACCGGTTTTTTATTACTTCTTTGATTACGAATAACATAATTTTAGTTCGAACCATTACGACACAACGGGAATGGAAATATGATTACAGACTGGTGGTTAGGGAGCTCGACTCGCAATCTGCGGGATCTAAACCCAGCGCCGAACATTCTTGTTCTTTCAGTTGTGTGGACATTATAATATGATGGTCAATTCTATTATCTGTTGGTAAAAAGTAGCCCAAGAGTTGGCGGTGGGTGCTGTCGGCAGGTTGTTTTTCCTGTGTTCGGCAATTCAAAATTAGAGTGCTCGGCACACAGCTTCTGTAGCTTTGCCTTTAACAAAAAACAAAACCAAGTGAGAAATGATTACAGTGAACTGTCTGTAGACTGTCCTCATATTTGGTGTGAACACCATTTTTTATTACGATTTTTGTAACTATCTTATGCAATATTTCCCATAGGAACTACATCAAAGGACCACATTGTTTGGTGATTAGGCAGAAAAAAAATCAGTTTTCAGAAAATCGTATATAGTTGTTGCCCTCAACGTTGGGGTTTTGTTTTACTCGCGTGTTTTAATACACGCACAAATTGAAAGAACAAAATCTTAGGTCACTACGATATATGTGTATAGTAGAACTATATTTTCAGTGTTGCTCTTCAATAAGAACGTAATTTAGTTCTAATCTAAGTATTTCTAATCCCCTTTTTTTCTGAGTTGGTTGAAGACTGGATTATTTTGTGCCAAAGGTTTAATTTAGTTTTTTACCTTTTTTTTTTTACACGTTATTAGTGGAAGATAGATAATTACAGTTTTAATAACGTAACAAAATGTTAAATAAAAATACAAGAAATACACAAGTTTACTGCATGAGTTAAAATAACAGTTGTGGAATGTCCCCCGATGGGACAGCGGTAAGTCTACGGACTTGCAACGCAAAAATCCGAGGTTCGATTCCCCGCGGTGGACACAGCCCAATGTGGCTTTGCTCTGAAACAAAGTTATTGAATCCCCCAAAAGTATTTGGTAGTCAGCGGTTTCATGAACTAGTCCAAGATTACACGAGGTTTGTAAAGCGTAAAATCATTGTACACAAGCTAGTAATATTTTCCCGCATGTTGATCTTATGTCTGTCTAATAATACGAGTTGGTAGTGATGTATTCAAGTTGACTTATACAGGGTGTCCGAAAAGTCCGGAACCATAGGTAATGCAACTGAAGTACAAACTTTATCCCATCGTTTTTTTTTGTTTTTTTTTTTTTATATGGGGACTGCTCAAGGCACGTGTGTACAAAGATGATATCAAAGACACCTGAACATTTGAAGCGACGAGTGTCGGACAGTTGACAGTGGCACGAACATGTTTCTTAGTGTTCAAGGACAACGGTAGTACAGTCTCCAAACTTGTTTCTAATTACAAGGACAGCACGTGGAACACATTCTCTAAAATTCAATGAACTGCCTGTATGGTTCTAGACGTCTCGGACACTCTGTGTATCGGTACAATGTCTGTTGAAACAGTTCCAGTTTTTAAAGTTGTAGATGCTTTCTTCTGTTGCGCTTCAGTACAGACACTTCATTCACCTTCGTTAACAGTGCCGGTTTCTGAAACCCACCTTTGATTTATTTTATTTTTTCACAGCGTTGGAGTCATTCTCCACGGACGAACTTGTTAGAGCTTATCGTAAAGCCTGTGACGATCAAGGCGTAAAGCCGCTCTGCCGTCTTTTGGAACAACTACAAGTAAGTCAAACTATTTTACGTCGTATTTCTAAGAAAGATGCATACGTTTCCTTTCCATTATATTATGTTTTGTAATTACAGAATTATTACTCTCTTTTCCTTTAGTTATAAACACGTTTATAATATTTCGCCCACGAATACAACCATTTAATTTAAATATACATTTCCCCGCCATTTCTTCTTTAAGAGATCTATTATTTGTTAGTTGAGCCCCTTGTCGACTAACCTTATGACACTAACATTCGCTTATAATGCTCTACTGCTCTTTTATGGGGATCGTCGCGATAGATAATTAGTAACCTTGGGATGTTGCTACAGGCGACGATGTTTGAAAACAAACAATGGTTTTATCCGAAAGTGATGTTGATAATTAAAAACCTATCAATCGTATGACGTACTTTCTCTATATATTTCAAAGTTTGGCCCCCAGTGGCACAGCGACATGTCTGCGGACTTACAACGCTAGAAACCGGGTTTCGATATCCGTGGCGGGCAGAGCACAGATAGCCTTTTGTGTGGCTTTGTGCTTAACTTCAAACAAACAAACAATTCAAAGTCTGAATGATTAATATTTCTTAAAATATATATTCTGTTTAGGCAAGTACTTTGTTCTGTTTAATGTTTCCATGCAGTTTCTTTTAAAACTCAGATTGTCTTTTGTAGTTTGAGCGTGGCGGGCGGAGCATAGATAGCTCATTGTGTGACTTTGTGCTTAACTTCAAACAAACAAACAATTCAAAGTCTGAATGTTTAATATTTCTTAAAATATATTCTGTTTAGGCAAGTACTTTGTTCTGTATAATGTTTCCATGCAGTTTTTTAAAAACAACTCAGATTGTCATTTTGTATTTTGTGGATGGTAGAACTAAACGTTTTCCTGTTTCTTTTATTTTGTTTTAATTGTAAGTGATAGCGTGTATATTTAAGTCTTAATTGTTCTAAGAAATATCATTTATTGAATAAAAAATATTACCAGTTATTCACAATTCTTGTTTCGTAACGAAATACCAAATTAATATGTATATATATATTTATTAAATCCGTTGCAACCATGATGCTAATTTTTCTTTCCCTTATTGATTATGGCTTTTTTTTTAGAAGTAGATTTTTTGTTGTTGTTGCAGAGATTGTCAAAATTTGGCATTCCTTATCTCAAAGATAAAAAGAAAATCATAAAAAGTTATTTTGAAAAAGGAAAACATTTTTGGTTAAACGACTTTAATAACCTTAAATCAATACGCCTAAATCATTCTTGCAGACCGCCCCGGTGGCTCAACGGTAAGTCTGTGGGCTTATAGCGCTAAAAATCGGGTTTCGATACCCGCGGTGAACAGCGCACAAATAGCTCATTCTGTAGCTTTGTGCCTGAATAACGAGCAAACAAGATTACAGACCAATGATTTATAAAGACCGTTGTTTCACTAAAGAAAGCTCGTGCCGTAGCTCTGAGCAACGACAACTTCCTTATTAAATTTCAACTACTAAAAGCCATAGACTGAATACTAGTTCGTCTGCATTTGATGCAGACCAAGAAAAGAATTTGGATCAGTACATAAAAGTGTACGAAGAGAGGATATATATATAGTTCGCAAAAATCGAGTGTATCGTTACTTCGCGAATTATGACTGCATTACACAAGTTTTTACGAGGACACCCAAGCATTGAGTTTATACATTAAAGGAAAGGTTTCCATCGTCTTAAAAGCAAATCAGGTAATGGTGAACCTCTAAATGTTGATTGGATTACGCTGTTATGTCTTTGTGCATTTATCTTAATGTTATAATGTCTGAGGTTGTAGTACAGTCAGGGCAGGTAATATTTATTATAAATTTTTTCTGACTCACCCCAAAATATCGTTATGTAATTTAGATAACCGCCCTTCTTCCCAACAATCCTGTTACCATTGGGGAAGATATGTTTATATTTTACTCTTTTTGTCACGTATAACGTTAGGTACCTATAGTATGTACGTTTTGCTTGTTTTTTACAGGGACCGTCACACTGGATAGTTAATTAGTGCCCTCAGTAATGTCCAATAGAATTCGCTACAGGCGATGACTTATTCCAACTCCACTGTTTGAAAATAAACGGGTAGTAAACAACAACAAAACAACAAGAATGGGTACATCCAAACTTAATTTTAACGGTGAATATGATTTCATCAAGATATATGTAGACATTAAAATTAATTAAAGAGGAAATAAATAATTATAATAGTTGATCACAACTTTGCGTATGTTGGATCCTTTTTTTTTATCGGCTTTTGGGTTTGGAATATGCAGTCGAAAGATGTGAACGTTGCAAAGTACTACTTTTTTTTTGTGGCTTTTTGTTTGTTTCTTTTGACATTATTTTATTTCGGTTACGTTTCTTGTAAAATGAGAATGGTATTTGTGTTTCTGTTGTCTGTTAGATCAATATGCTTTATAAACGCTGACCGGTGATAGCATCAAAGTTTTGTATGAAGACATTCTATTATTATTAGACGATGTGTTAGTGGAGTTTTGGCTTTAATGGATTGCTCTTGCCTGTTTCTAGTAAAGTAGAACGGCATTTCGGCTTCTATACTGAAATCTTATTCAGGTCGAAGTCAAATTTGTTAACTATAATAGTGTCTGCTTGTTGGTCAGCGCGGCCGTATGGGTAAACATATCCGGAAGCGTTGGGATGTCATCAGTTATTCTGTTAATGATGCGTGTGTGTGTGTGTGCATATATATATAATAAAACAGTCTTTTTACCCGCATGTTTTCAACGAAGCAATAGTCTTTAAAATAGTCGTCGCAATCATTATTTTTTATAGGTATACATTTTTATGTCAATGTTTTTTTATCCCAGTATTGTGTAACCAACCATCACACAATTTGTATTTCGTTTGGGATCCGGAATAGCTAAACTTTGTTGTACTTCTCCGCGTCCTACTGTTCAATATTTTGAAATGTTCATCAATATACGTGTTTCTACGCAGCCTGCTATATAGTACTCCATTGATCACGATCGATGCAGATACTGTTGTGGTTAGAATACGTCACAAATAAATTTGATTATGAAACTAATGTTCCGTTTCAAAAAATATAAAATACTGTATAAAAATGGGGATTACGTTACGCGTTTCTAGATAAATCCAGTAACTAATCATTTTGAAGTAAGTAATTAGGAGACGTGATCTGCACATCAACCGAACAACAATTTATACTCATATTTTATGATACAGTTGCACAAAATTTGATTCATATGTCGACAGGAAGTACGTTTTAACAGATATTTGTGCTGTAGTAATTCGCAAGATACGATTCACATATTTGCAGTAGCCTGGTGGTTAGGGCACTTTACTAGCTAGTTGCGAGTTGCGGGATCGAAACATGTTGCCAAACATGCTCGCCCTTTCAGCTGTGGGGCCACATACTGGGCCGTTGGTAAAGAATAGCCCAAAAGTTCGGCGGTGAGTTCTACTGACTAACCTGCCTTCCCTATAATCTTCCGCTTCAAAATTAGGGACGACTAATGCATATAATAACTCTTGTCTAGCTTTGCACGAAATTCAATAAACAAAACATTTTCAGGAACCACGTTTTGAACTAATATTTGTGTTTTGTAGTAATTTACAAAATGTGATCAACGCATCAACGGGAACCACATTTTAAACTGAAATGTGTAATTGCTCACCCACAACTTGATTCATGCATCATACAGGGATCACGTTTTAAATACACATGTGACATAACTTGATCCGTGCATCAACACGAATCCCATCTTTAAATATTGTTTGTGATGAGTATTTTATAAGACGCAATCCTTTCTCGAATCAACGCTCACTTTTTGAAATGGTGAAATAAGATTAGACGCAATTATGAAATAAGGCACAAAAAACTCGCCTTTGGGAACAGTAGAATCTAGAGTATATTGCTATCTTTTTAACTGTTGGGCCTGACGTATGCCACTTTATGTTCACTTCTTGAGGGTCTATAATGTAAAACAAAATGCTCTAAAACGTTGCTATTTTTCTTTAGTTTTTTACTGACTACATTGGCGTTTAAATATACTTTTTGATTCGGGAAGCCTAATCCCTACATCTAAATATTAATTTTGCTTATTTTTACCTACCGTGACTCTAGGTGGCACTCAATACTGAAGAAGAAAAAATTTAAATCACGAGTCTATGTCGCATTGCGAAATAAAAAATACCAAAGGCTTCATTTTGATACTGAAATTTAAAGCCCAACAATATTAGAAGTACTTGTCCATTAATAGTGAGATTCTGGACAGAAACTAGGACTGTTGCTTCTTCAACCGCATATTCTACAGAGCAGAGAAGTTTGAGCTTTGTGCTTTTACAGTCAGTATGATACAAGGGCCCCCACCCCCAGTGGGAGGTCCATTATGTAGCTTTGTGCTTAACAACAAACAAACAAAATTATACAAGTATACGATTACTTCCAAGCAGGTATCCAAGACTGGATTTAGTGATACCAGACTGGGCTATAGATCAGCTCACTACATTTTAACTGGGGCTGGAAGAATTGATATAGTGCTAATGTTTCTAGATCATCTGTGCATTCAAGTTACTGAAGCAAACGTATGTGGAAATGCAGAATATTTTTGATCAAGGTTGTCGTTTTTCTGGTTTTGCTTTTTTTTCTACGTGATCTGCGTTTTTACTGTTTTAATTTAACCTTCGCTACTGCTGCTGGTAAAATTTCTTATGAGAGTTTTACTTTTTTCAAAATACAAAAATCTATCCTATTGCATGAAGCTTTACCTTTACAGACTGTATCTCTCTCTCTCTCTATCTCTCTCTCTCTCTCTATATATATATGCTGGTGTACAAGAAGGACGTTTTGTCTCATCTTCTCCAGCTGTTGCAGATATCCCCCCCCCCTTGTGATAAGATGGATTACATATTCCAAAAACACGAGTTCCAGAAAGATTGTTTGTTTGTTTGTTTTTGTGGGATTGACCGTCACATTATAACGCCCCCACGGCTGAAAGGGCGAGCATGTT